GCACGATTAGCTCAGATTCCTTGGCAAACACTGTGTGCGCTTAGAAATTCTTGTGCAGTGATCGTCTCAGCAGCTCAGATACTAAAACCAGAAATTGTTGTGAAAAAAGAAATTCTCACCTACATTGTCTTCAATATTTTAACAAGTAAGCTGGAAAGCATTTCATTTTGTAGATAATTATTTTTGCTCTTTTCTTTGCATAATTTGCAGCCAGTATGTTTTTTCCCTGGTTTCTTGGAAGCATTTTCGTAGGTCCTTCAAAGCTTATCGATCTTAGGCATGATGCCTTTAATTGCCTAATGGGTAAAACAGCACAGTGGTCAAACAGAGCTTAGGATCAAGAGAGGAGCATGCACCTGGCACAATGGCTCATGCCTGTAATCCTAGCACTCTGAAAGGCCAAGGCAGGTGGATCGCTCAAGGTCACGAGTTCAAGACCAGCCTGAGCAAGAGCAAGACGCCCGTCTCTACTAAAAAAATAGAAAGAAATTAGCTGGACAACTAAAAATATATATAGGAAAAATTAGCCGGGCATAGTGGCGCATGCCTATAGTCCCAGCTACTCGGGAGGCTGAGGCAGAAGGACTGCTTGAGTCCAGGAGTTTGATATTGCTGTGAGCTAGGCTGATGCCATGGCACTCTAGCCCAGGCAACAGAGTAGGAGTCTGTCTCAACAAAAATAGAGAGACGCATGCAGGATAATTGAGGAATCAAGTACATGCGGCACTTACAAAGCCTGAGGTTGGTTGCTGCAACTGAAGCCAGGCACCATTTCAAACCATATGATCTCCACAAACACTCTTCCTTGAAGACTACAAAGAGCTTCCAGACAGCCACAATTCCCAGAGGTAGCAGAAGAGGCAGCTGCCCCTACCATTTGCCTTTGGGGCATCATTTGCTCCCAAGATGGAGACCAGCTACCCAGACGGCCACCAGTGAGGACAGCAACAGCAACAGCCCCGCCCCGCCTCTCTACCATGGCTGTGGGGACAGGGCGCTCAGAGAACAGACACATGAAGGCATCACATATGTCATCACTGGGCTGGTTCATTATCTTTCATCTTTAAGTTGGCCTCTAATTTGTATAAATTCACCTACCACTGTCAGTTTGAATATATCATTTCCCAAACTGTAGCAGAGAGAAATTATTAACAAATTAATCAATCTGGATGCAAGTCTCTTTTAGAGGTCTGAGAATGGGGAGGAAACAGAGGACTAAAGAATGTCCCGAACCCTTAGAGAAACCTAAATCAGAAACATCTAGGATTTTTTTAAATTTGGGGGCTTATTTGTTTTTTGGGTTTGTTTTGTTTTGTTTTGTTTTTTCTGAGACCAAGTCTCACTCTGTTACCCAGGCTAGAGTGCAGTAGCATCATCATAGCTCACTGCAACCTCAAACTCCTAGGCTCAAGCAATCCTCCTGCCTCAGACTCCTGGGACTGTAAGCACATGCCTAATTTTTCTATTTTCAGCAGAGACAAGGTCTCGCTCTTGCTCAGGCTGGTCTTGAACTCCTGGCTTCAAGCGATCCTCCTGCCTCGACCTCCCAAAGTGCTAGGATTACAGGTGTGAGCCACCGTGCCTGGCCTAGGATGTTTTAAAATAGGTGCTGACCTGAGGCCTGTGCTCTGGGGGTAGGGAGTCAGACAATCTGACAGGTATGGGCCAAATGTGACAAGGAAGGAAAGCAGCCCACACCTAAGCACCCTTGACAAAATGACAGCTTTTATTTGCTTGGGTAAAGGAGTGATGTAGCTTGGCCTCCGTTAGATGCCAAATACTGATAGTGTTCGACTCAAACGGCCTCTTAGATGTGGCCAACAAAAGCACAAAAAGGCCCCACTGCTTATTGACATTCCCATTAACCGGGCACTTCTAAAGAACAGGCCAGGGTTGTCTGAACACAGAAACCCTGGGTAAAAGTTAGTCCTCATCTGCTGTGCAGCTGGGCGAGGACAGCGGAGATCCAGGCTGGGCATATGCCATGGTGCCGCATTCCCATTCATCAGACTGGCTAAAGTCTCCCACTTGTACATCCACAGGTCTCCAACACAGTGCCAAATGGTAAGGTCAACAGGACACCACATTCTAATCCTCACCCCCTGACCAAAGTCCCCAGTCCATCCCTCTTTTCAGCCCACCCTGATCCCCACCTAGCCCAGGTGAATCCCACTCCCACATCAGGCACTGCCAGAGGTTTGGGAATTCTGTCTCCCTGGCATTTCAGTGCCTCCATCTATCCTGATTTCATCAATTGCTCCCAGCTTCCTCTATCGTGTACCCAGTTCTTTCCCTCCCTTTACCACCCTCAGCTCTTCTGTGACCATAAAACTAACTGCCAGCATTGGCCTCACCTAGCAGCCTCCCAAAACAGAGACCTAGCAAGAAACAGCCACCTCAAGGCCTTTTGTTGTAGGAGTGATGGTCTGAGAACAGACACCATGGTGCAACTTGAGTTTTTGTCTTTTTAAGTTGGGTCTGTGATTAGCTACCCCTCACCACTTTGCATTGGATTTTTTTTTTTTTCCTTTGAGACAAGAGTCTCACTCTGTTGCCCAGGCTAGAGTGCCGTGGCGTCAGCCTAGCTCACAGCAACCTCAAACTCCTGGGCTCAAGCGATCCTCTGCCTCAGCCTCCCAAGTAGCTGGGACTACAGGCATGCACCACCATGACTGGCTAATTTTTTCTCTACACATTTTTAGTTGTCCCGCTAATTTCTTTCTATTTTTAGTAGAGACGGGGTCTTGCTCTTGCTCAAGCTAGTCTCAAACTCCTGACCTTGAGCAATCCATCCGCCCCTGCCTCCCAGAGTGCTAGGATTACAGGTGTGAGCCACTGTGCCCAGCCAGTAATTTTTTAAAATAAAGAAAACCCATGAGTTTTAGCTGCTTGTGAGAGCCATCCGGACTTTAGCAGGTCCTCCTGTTGCTCTTTCCCAATCAGCCCAGCATGCTGCAATACACCAGCTTCCTTTTACCCCTTAGCAACTGTTCTGACAAGCATGGTAAAGTATTAGGTTGGTGCAAAAGTAATTGCGTTTTAGGATTATGAATTTTAAATCATTATAACTAGGCTCAAACACATCTTTATTAATCAAAATAGAAACCACTACAATCGACACATTTTTGCCAATGAGAAATAAGTTTGTTTATTCCTGTCGTGTAAAAATCTGTGCTTTGAGATTTGACGAACTCTTGGAAATCATCTTCTGCATCCTGCTGCTTGTGGAAGCATTTTCCCTGCAAAAAAGTTGTCTACATACTGAAGAAGTGGTAGTTGGTTGGTGAGAGGTCAGGTGAATATGGCGGATGAGGCAAAACTCCGTAGCCTAGTTCGTTTAACTTCTGAAGCATTTGTTGTGCAACGTGTGGTCAGGTGTTATTGTGGAGAACTGGGCCCTTTCTGTTGACTGATGCTGGCTGCAGGCACTGACTGCAGTTTTCAGTGCATCCCATCGATTTGCTGAGCATACTTCTCAGATGCAATGGTCTCGCTGGGATTCACAGAGCTGTAGTGGATCAGACTGGTGGCAGACCGCCAGACAGTGACTATGACCTTTTTTTGGTGCAAGTTTGGCTTTGGAGCTTCTTCTCAGTTCTACCACTGAGCTGGTCATCACCTATTGTCATACAAAATCCACTTTTTTTTTTGAGACAGAGTCTCACTTTGTTGTCCAGGCTAGAGTGAGTGCCGTGGCGTCAGCCTAGCTCACAGCAACCTCAAACTCCTGGGCTCAAGCAATCCTGCTGTCTCAGCCTCCCGAGTAGCTGGGACTACAGGCATGCGCCACCATGCCCGGCTAATTTTTTTTTATATATATATCAGTTGGCCAATTAATTTCTTTCTGTTTATAGTAGAGACGGGGTCTCGCTCTTGCTCAGGCTGGTTTTGAACTCCTGACCTTGAGCAATCCGCCCGCCTCGGCCTCCCAAGAGCTAGGATTACAGGCGTGAGCCATAGCGCCCGGCCTCAAAATCCACTTTTGTCACATGTCACAATCTGATCTGAGAAATGGTACATTGTTCTTGCGTAGGAAACAGTTTAAAACAATGATTTTTTTTGATTTTCGGTCAGCTCATTAGGCACTCACTTATCAAGCTTTTTCACCTGTCCAATTTCCTTCAAATGCTGAATGACCATAGAGCTGTCAACACTGAGTTCTTAGGCAGCTTCTCCTGTAGTTGTAAGAGGATCAGCTTCGAGGATTGCTCTCAATTGGTCGTTGTCAAGTTCGGGGATGGTGGGCCCACTACAGTCCTCATTTTCAAGGCTCTCATCTACCTTGCAAAACTTCTTGAACCACCATTGCCCTGTGCATTCATTAGCAATTCCTGGGCCAAATGCGTTGTTGATGTTGCGAGTTGTCTCTGCTGCTTTGCCACCCCTTTTGAACTTGAGTAAGAAAATCGCTCAAATTTGCTTTTTGTCTAACATCATTTCCATAGTCTAAAATAAATATAAAATAAACAGCAAGTAATAAGTCATTAGCATAAAAACATAAAGCGAGAAATGTGCATTAAAATGATGTATGACATAATCATATTTATTCAAGAATGTATTCCAATATCAAAGAGCAAATTTCAACAATGCTAAAAACCACAATTACTAAAACCACATCTTGCACATGATGGTGTCTGTGCAGAATGTAGTTGATAAGTGCTGGAACACAGAGGCAGGGCCTGTTGACAGGAAGGCAAACACAGTGATTCTGCCATGACCTCCCAAAAATCCACACATGTACCTGCCTTAAAAACTCACTAGTCCCATTGAGCAACTGCTACTGTAACTCAGAGTAGTCTGTCTGTAGGAAGGAGCAGACAGACCAAGACAGAAAACCCAGATGCTGGAATCTCTCTCCTCAAACTACCCCAGTGAGTAACTGGACTGCCTAGGAGCTAAGCTAAGAACAAGGCAAAGACTGCTGGAGTTGGATGGTCTCTAAGATATACCAGCAACCAGCAAAGGATGACTTCTGCCCAAGGAACGGTATTGTTTCTCTTGGGAATTTGAGAAGGGGCTGGAAGTGTGCTGTTTAAATAAATATTACACTTGTCCTCCTTTTGGCAACCATTACCACTACTGCCAGATGTTTTAGCTCCAGAAGCAGCTGTGCCAAATAGAAGGCTGGAACCCCGCCAGACACGTCCATGTTTGCAGCAGACAGGAGCACTGCCTGGCCTCTACATACCACTCTGAATTGACTCACAGTACCATTTCCAGGACTTGCACCAAGGGACAGAGGCTCCTGCTATACAGTATTTGATATGTCCAAAGCAACATGGCCCTTCTCCTAATTCTGGGAGGTTGGATGGATGGATGGATGGATGGATGGATGGATGGATGGATGGATGGATGGATGGATGGATAAATAAAGGAACATGGCCCCTTAGTTCTGGATCTGAATTCTGTATGGGCAGAAGCAGATTCAAATGTCAACTGCACATAGTAAGATTGGAGTGTGTGTGGTAGGCAGAATTCTAAGATTCCCAGCCCCTGGTTACTCAAACACAAATCTAGGTACTGCTGTCATCAGTTGACCTTAAGATAGGGAGATTATCCAGGTGGGTCTATTATGAGTCATTTAAAAGCAATGTTTTCCCCAGCTTGCATCACAAGAGGAAGCCAGATTCGAAGCACCAGGATTCCAGGCACCATTGCTGGCTTAAGATGGAGGGAACCAAGTGCACAGGAATGCAGGCAGTGTCTATAAGCTGAGAGTTGTCCCGGCTGACAAGACAGCAAGGAAACAGTGACTTCAGTCCTACACTCTGAATTCTGCCAACAACCAGAATGAGCTGGAAGCATGTTCTTTCTTTCCCAGAGCCTTCAGGTGAGAGCCCAGCCCAGCTGACACCTTGACATCAGCCTTACGACACTCTAAGCAGAGAACCCAACCAAGCCTGCCTGGATGTCTGACCTACAGAACTGTGAAATGATAACTGGGTGTTGTTTTAAGCTGCTAAGTTTGTGGGCATTTGTTATAGCCTGCTGAATTACCAACGCAACATGTAACGCTCTCAGCAAGTGCCTCAGTTCAGAATGTCCTGGCATTCCTCAGTGTTAGTGCTCTACCTCCACATCCTCCCACCCCATCATCAGAGCACAGCCTTCCTCTAACCCCTTTTCATTGAAAAATAAAAGAGAACCAAGAGGGACTGGTGAGGCAAAGACCTGTGCTTACTTCAAAAGCCCACCCCAGGTGGAGGATACCATTTGGAATTCCAGCAGGAAGAGTTAGCTCTTTCCCCTTCTACCAACTCCAACCCCATACACACACCAAATGTAGACTCTATTAGTTGGCAGGGGAAATCTACCATAGGTCCTGAGTATTCCCACACATTCTTGCTAGGTGGGAATACCCTTTACCTCTTTACCTGAGTCCTTTCTCAGAACAGTGTTTGCGGCAAGCAATCTTGAGGGATGGAGTAACACCTTCATGGGGAAAAAAGAACAGACCTGCACAAAAGAGGCGGAGTCCCCAAGCACACAAGTTTCTTGGCTGTGATGCAAACCCATTATCTGCATGGCATCTACCCGGGCCCCTCCACGTCCACTGTGGGATGTGGGGGGTAGGGAAACCAACATAAACAAGAAACTTATGCTGTTGACTATGCTGAGTAATCCAAGTTCTTCGTCTCTGACCCAGGACTCTCATGTCTTCTGCTAGCATCAACAAACCAGTAATAATCTAATTTATTAACTTGTAAGCAGGGAAAATCCAAGATGTTGACTCTATTACATTAAGATCTTTACATCAAGAGATCTAATGTCTTTACATTATAAATTTCAAAGGAACAAAATATCCTTTTTGAATTTTCTTGTGGAGATAAAAAATTTACACTATACGGTTATTGTGAGAATAAAACAAAATGTATAGCACACCTGGGCTGCGGAAAACACCCAGAACTTTAGCTGGACCCCCGCCCTCTACAGCTACCCATCCCTCACATATGCATACAATGAAGCAGATAAGGATCAGTATTGTGTCCATAATAGCAATCTACTCAGAAGAGATCAAATAGTCTAATCTAGCAATTTCTGACCTTCGCACAGCACTGCATGACTCAAAATGACTTTCACACGTATTATCTCATTTAATCCCCACAACAGAAACCAAGCCTCAAAGAGGTTAAGTCCTTGCAGAAAGAACGGTAACCACAGGTTACTCCACAGGTCTGGAAAATGACCCTAAGCCCAGGCATGTGGGCTGAGGAAGCATGGCTGAACACAGCTGCAACTCTGTTCTAGCAGGACAACCGTGTCCTGAGGGCACACTCTTCCTCCAGGTAAGCCGAGGGCGCTCTTACAGTGACTGGGCCTCCTGAGGAATATCGATGCCACTGGAGAAATGGCAGGAAACCACATGATACAGAGATATCTTTTATTTGTATATAGATTTTTTAAAAAAAAACAGAAAATTAAGCAAGTCCTTAATATAAGTAGCTGTCCTGACCTGGAAGAACACATTTGGACTTGGTCCCTTTGCTGTCCTTGGCAGTCTCTGCTTTGTCTGTAGGCACTGGGGCCTTATCTTGTGACAGGTATCACTTGAGGGTCTTGCTAAGGCTGGAGAAGCCAACGCCAACACAGGTCATCAGTACTTTATCCCCGCCCTTGAGTTCTTCACCACATGGCTTGGTTTCAATTTTAAACATAATCTGGAAAAAGCTCTTCAAATGCCGCAAAAATTCTATCCTAAAAAAAAAAAGAAGAATAAATAAAAAGGAATTCATTTCTTAAAAGATTTCTCCTCCCCCCACCTAGAATGCAAGCTTTTAATTTCCCAGATCAAGAAGGACTGAGATTAAAACATCTCACCAAATCTGATTAAATAGTATATATTTCCAGCCTACCAGTTTCCAAAGGAGATTTAGATAACTTGCAGAGATGCATGCAATACAGCAAGATAAATAGGGGGAAAAAAAGGTTAATAGCACATAAGTCACTTAGTCCTACACACCCATTAGGGGGTGGATATAAATATAGTGATAATTTTTTTTTTTTTTTTTTAAAGACCGGGTCTTGCTAGGTTGCCCAGGCTAGACTCCTACTCCTGGGCTCAAGCTATCCTCCTACCTCAGCCTTCCAAGTAGCTGGGACTAGAGTACAGGCATGAGCCACTACGCTTGGCATTTGAGTGGCCCATGCAAAGACAGAACTTCCAACCAAAAAAACCAAAAATAAAAATCCTTACCTTGTGAAGATTTCAATCTAGTGGTACAGACAAGATGAGTAAGTTAAATATTCTTGAAAAGTACTATGGAAATTTAAATAAAGCAAACAACACAGATGGGGAAGAACTGTGGGTATTAACAATGTTTGTGCATTTTTGGCAGGAGGCAATATTACATAAAGTGGCCACGGAAAAGCTCACAATAAACACAGCAAGGAGTTTCATAGGGCTATTTCTTATAATCCCCCTTTAACACAGAGGGATGGCACCACCCCAAGCATACCTTGCGAAAAGCAATTCTATGGCTGGACCACAATACGGGTATACAGGTTTCTAATGGTCTGCCCTAGCAGACCCAGCATCCCCCCAGCTAGCCTGACCAAAACACTCACCTGCAGACTTCATTAAATACACAGGTTCCTGAGGTTCTGATCAGCTTACAACCACCAGTAGGAAGAAGCACCCATGTGGAAGAACTCAGAAATATAGGCCACATGCAAAGTTGTCCCCTCCTCATGTCCTACCAGGCCCTGTGCTCCCCAGTGCATAGAGGCCAGAAATATATTAACAAGCATCCCTGGCAATTCTCATCAAGCAAGTGTGGGAAATACTGGTTTAGCGAAGAACAATGGTCTGCACACCTGCAATGAAGTATTACAAAAACCTTGTATTGTGCTGCCTCCCAATCAAACCCTAGCGAGATGGTTCTCAACCTCAACTGCACACCTGAGAAGCTTCAAAAATACTGACCCTAGACATGCAGATCTATGGAATAGAATTGAGAGTCAAGAAATAAACCCACACATTTATGGTCAATTGATAATTTGATGGGGAAAGAGTAATCTTTTCAACAAATGGTGCTAGAACAACTGGATATCCGCATGCAAAAGAATGAAGTCAGACCCCTTCCTCACATCATACACAAAAGTTAATAACTCAGATCAAAGGCTTAACTCTAAGAGCTAAAAACTATAAAAATTCATTGGAGTCAATCTTCATTATATTGGGCTAGGTAATAGTCTCTTAACCATTTCTTAAATACAACACCAAAAGCATAGTAATTAAGAGAAAAAAAGATAAATCAGATTCCATCAAAATTAAAATCTTTTGTGCATCAAAGGACATTACCAAGAAAGTGAAAAGACAACCTACAGGATAGGAGAAAATATTTGCAAGTCATATATCTGATAAAGGTCTGGTATCTAAAATATATAAAGAATGTTTACAACTTGATAATAATAATAAACTTTAAAATTCAAAGATGTGAGAGAGACCTAAATAGACATTTCCTCAAAGAAGACACACAAATATCCAATAAGCACATAAAAAAATGTTCATCATTAGTTATTAGGAAAATGAAAATCAAAACCACTATGAGATACCACTTCATACCCAATAGGATAGTTATAATAAAAAAGACAGACAATAACAAAAGTGGGGGCAAGCATGTAGAGAAATCAGAACCCTCATACACTGCTGGTGAGAATGTAAAATGGTATAGCCACTATGGAAAACAATCTGGAAGTTCCTCAAAATATTGAACAAGGAGTTACCATTTGACACAGTAATTCTACTCATAGGTTTACATGCAAGAGAAATAAAAACATAAACCCACACAAAAACTTGTACCTAAATGTTTGTAGAAACAACCCAACTGTCCATCAACTGATGGACAGATAAATAAAATGTGGTATATCCATCCAAGGGAATATTATTCAGCCATAAAAAAGGAATGAAGTACTGATACAACATGGGCGAACCCTGAAAACATTATGCTAAGTCAAAGAAGCCAGTAGCAAAGGACCACATATTATATGCTTCTAATTACAGTATATGAAATAGCCACAACAGGCAAACCTATTACAGAGACAGAAAGTAGATTAGTGGTTGCCTGGGTCTAGGGACAGTGGGATGAACAGACAGCGACTGCTAATGGCCACAGGATTTTGTTCTGGGGTGAAGAAAATGTTCTAACATTAGATTGTGGTTGTGTTTATACATCTCTGTGAATATGCTAAAAACTTTACACTTTAAATGGGTAAACTATGTAGTATGTGAATTATATCTCAATAAAGCTGTTTAAAATAAATCAATACATATTTGTGACACTAAAAAACAATACTGATCCTGGTTCTCACCCCTATTTCATGCATGCCAAACTACACATAAAGCCTACTTCCATGAGTTTTCCACCCCTGGCAGTAGCCTACCCTGAGCACTGATCTAGTCAAAGGAGGGAAAAGCCAATGAGGAAAAAAGGGGGCCTGAATAATTCCCTACCCTGTCTGGCTGAAAGGACCAGCACATCAGGGGCCAAGAGATGAAATGGTTAGTGCCCTAGAGAGCAGGAGTTCTGGTGAGTGCTGCATGCTCACAGAAAAATCTCCCAATTCTTAGCTTTCCCTTCCACCTGGGAATGTGCAACTTCATTTCCACCATCTTTAAAATAACATTCTGTTAGTCAACTCTTCTAAAGGCTCTCCTAGCCAATAACCCCCACCCCACCCCATCTTTCCCTCCCCTCTGAATTTCCACAGCATTCTCTGCTTATGTTGTCTAATTAAATGTTTATGTATAGTTGTCCCCATAACTGTCCTCTTCTCCTTTATTAAATTATATAAGTACCTCAAGGGCAATGACCTCTATCATTGAAACCCATTATTCAAGGAAGGCACTACATAAGGCTCTCAATATAGAGGCACCAAATAGAACTTGGGAGTTAAGGGCAATTTTGAGAAAAAAATTCAACATTCTCGGCAATTAAGGGACATTCTCTCCCCTGCTGGCTTTCCTTTCTTACTAACCAATTAAAGTTTTGTTGTTACTTGCTTTCCATCCATCCATCCCACCACCTCTGCTACCCAGTCCTAGGGAAAAAGAAAACAAACACATCAAACCCACAGGTAAATAGCCCACATCTGTGGGCAGAGCTTCCAGCTGGCAGCAGCTCAGAAAAAGCCAGCCATCTCACCTGCCTGCATGAACAGCTTGGCCTCTCTTTCGCTGCTGCCTCAAACTAACGCAAACCTAGGGCGTGCTCTGCTCCCAGGGTCTCACCCTGCCGACTGCACTCTGAATCATTCAACTGTGCTTGGAAAACCAGACACCCTCCCGGCTGGCAGAATTCCTAAAGGGCCTCAGCTTGCTTCTGATCTGTTGGAGAAGGACAGGAAAAACACAGGCTTGAGTGTGTGCAGGCCTACCTATTTGCAACTTTGGGGTATTTGTAGTCGTTGGAACAGTTAGAAAAAGCAAAGTTGGTTCCACGTTTTACATAATGTTCTGCCAATCCCTCAGCCTGTCTGAGGAAGACTGTGTAAGAAGAGTGTATTTCAGAACGTCCTTCCCCCACCTTCAGCCCCATCATCCCTATGTCTCCAACAGCTAGCATATTAAAAAGCAAAAATGCTGGGATGGCATGTGTTGATGTTAAAAAAATTTTAAAAAAAAAGGAAGCAAAAATGCTCAGAAGCTGAGAAATAACCACAAAGATATTAAATCCTAATAAATAGCCTCCTTAAGAAAATGAAAACCGAAGAACGCCGTCCTGTATCTCCATGCACTTGAACAAAGTCTCACCTGGCGCTGGTCCACATCCTTCCCCACCACCCCATAACTCTGCACAGCTGCAGCCCCAGCAAGGCGCCACCCCCAAGTTCACAACGCTTCCCTGCCCTCCTCTGTCACGGCACTCTACTGCAGATTCACGCTTCCTAGGTACAGCCACACGGCCACACAGCCGGGACAGAGAGACCCATAGCTCACTGAGAGGAGCTCTGCCTTCGGTGAACGACCACCCACCCGCACTGTGCAAACAGCAGCTTCTCAAACCATTTTGTGGGATCTGATCACGGCTTCTTGCGACTCCTACGTGAAGCGCTTTAACTCCTGACTTACAGAATTGTATCTGCAATGAGACATACCCCACCCTTTTTTTTCAAGACAAAATGATTTATTTTCAGAAAACAAAAAATAACCAACTTTTCTATGAAGTCACTAGTCCATCTATCTGACAGGCAGGTTTCAAATAATTCTGAAGTGCAGAGATAACTTTTCTTGGGTATTTTCAAAAGGTGGGTTGTTCTACTGCCACTGCCGGTCAACAGGTAAGGCCATGAGGCTCCTGGTCATCTGCAAAATGAATCCCAATGGCCTAGGACTTGACAGGCTGCTGGGCGCCACCCCTTAAACACAGCCTCTGTCACTCAGTCCCCCTTCTGAAGCATGTTAGAGAATGGGGTGAGAGCAATCACGGGGTGAGCCCTCTGGCAGCTCCCTCAGACAAAAACCACGAGAGAAGGTCCTGCCTCCTGTTCCACCAAGCCATCTGGTTTCCATGCCACTAGGATATGGGACAGAGTCAGGGGTTACCTACATCTCAGGTGTAAGGAGATGCCATGGAAGCTGAGGAGAAAGGCCTGGGGGTAAGAAAAGAATCTGCTCAATGGGGTCTCCTGTAGTCATTACATAGCACCTTTTAAATATATTGGTAGTGCTTTTACTGCCAAATACCAGCTTTCCCTAAGACCAACCGACCTCTACTCCAAGAATGAAGGTATTAAATTCTGTTACACAGGCAGCAGGAAACAGTGAACCAGGCTAGCTGCGCCATCGAGGGATGAGGGTCCCAGGACTCACTCGAATAGGAACTCAGTACCAGCAGTCCACCGACCTTTTTTTCCCATCTAAAGTAAGGATACCCTTTGCTTTTACTATGTGCCAAATATGTTCTGGGGCTCATCAAACATAACTAAGGTGATGGGACTTTGCAGCATTTAAACCACTTTTCAAGGACAAGGGACAGTGGTTTTGTGCTCACAGGGTCTAGTAAAGCTGCTGAATCCAAAGAACAGCAGCCTTGGCCGGCAGTTCCCAGTTTTCCCGGGCACTATCTCATTCGATCTTCACGTGGCTGTGCTTCAGACAGGGCGAGCCGACAAGCCCTGATCAGCCGGTGTTTAACAAGGACAGCGGGCTCCAGCTTCCCCAGCACTTCCACAAGTGACAGAAAGAGGTCATTTATCACAGATAGAGAAAAACAAAGAGGCATGGTTTATTTTAGATTTCCAACTAAAGATAGAAGGAGATCATTTTACAGCAGAATTTGAAACGAAGACTCTCATGAAAAGATGTAACATGGCATCGTGCCTCAGGTAAGGTGCTTGGAGTCCAACAATGTGGATGGAATCCCAGCTCTTACATAAGAGCACGGTGGTTACGGGAAGCAGCAACTGTGGATGAGACTGTCCCCAGGTCTGAACCCAGCGTACTGTCTGTATGACCCGGGGCACATAATTTAACCTCTCCGTGCCTCAATCCCATAACCTATAAGATGGAGCATATATATGATAGTATCTGCCCTTTTCACCCGCACAAGGTTATGATAAAAACTAAATGAGTTAATATTTCTAAGCACTTAAAACAGTATTTGGCATACAGTAAACACGGTGTTTGTTAAATAAACACCTACCTTACAGAATTCATGGGAACAACCAACCAGATATAGGTAGTTTTGTTTGGTAATTAATGTAATTGGAGGAAGTGAATCATGAATTTAAAAATGAGTAAATACAGGACAGACATGGTGGTTCACACCTGTAATCCCAGCACTTTGGGATGCCGGGACAGGAAGAGAGGCCTGGAGTTCAAGACCCTTTCTCCACAGAAAATTTTTAAAATTAGCCAGATGCATGCCTGTAGTCTCAGCTACTCAGGGGGCTGAGGCTGGAGGATCACTTGAGCCCAGGAGTTCGAGGCTGCAGTGAGCTACAATGCAGCCACTGCACTCTAACCTGGGCAACAGATTGAGGTACTGTCTCAAAAAAAAAATAATAATAATTAAAAATAAAAAAAATTAAAAATAATGGATATGAATTTATAGGTAGCTGAGCAGACAATTTAAAGCTGGCTTCAGGCTGGAGATCACCCAAAACAACTTTACTAGGCCTCCTGGTGTTCAAAGTGACCTGACCAAGAGACTGGAAGGGGTCTCCAGGTAGGAACTGTGGCAGCCAGTACTGACTGAGCGCCTCACCTGGCCTCATTTAAGTTTTACCCTATCTCCACAAACCCATGACTTCAGGACCATGCACCTTATCTGCAGATGGGACCAAAGCTAGAAATGCTAAGTATCACTTCCACAGTCTCCTGGTGGCCCTGTGGCAGAGCCAGCACTCAAGTTCAGACAGGCTGGACTCCAAGGCCTAGCAGAATGCAGAAAGCTCCGGTAACCGCGGTATCCTTTTACACACAATTTCTGAAAGTGCCAATTAAGATACTCATTGATATATATTTTTCTTGCTATTAATCCAACTTTCAAATAAAGTATAAATCTTCCCTAAACTGTAAAATTAAGCTTGTTGAGGGGAGGGTGGAACCACTGTCACTAACTGTAAACCACCTAAAATTCAACAAACTTAATGGAAATAGAATCTCCACATACCAGTGTATTATCCAATACTATTTTATTCTCCTTAAAAAACACCTCTCTGAGCTTCCTGGAGAATGTCACACATATAGATTTATTTTCTCAAATAGCAAAAAAAAAACCACCAACAGCAATCTCCTGAAGTAAGACAGTGGGAAGAAGAAAATAAGCAACATAGAGACCCTACTTTCCAGAAAGGGTTTGAAAGCAACACTGAAAAAAAAAAATCCTTCTTAATCCCAGTGCTCTTTAAATAGACATTTAAAAAGCTACTGATACAAATCAAAACATGTGCACACTGCCAGAAGAAATATATTTTTTTAAACCAAGGAGGGTCTTGCTTCTGGTTTACTTTAGAAATTTGAGGTTTCACAAAACAAGTTTCTATGACTTTAACTGCACATAAAAATAAATGTGATAATCTGGTCTCCAAAGCTCTTGAATCCAATTAGAATAAACTGTTCCCCTGCCACGATGGTCCTGACTATAGATTCTGTCCCTTTTTGACCCTCAACTGTACTCACAATGTTAACTTTGTCTGCTGGGTCCCACCTTCTCCCTTGATCACTTTGGGCCTCTGGACCCTTCCACATTGATTAAGGGCAGAAACAGTCCCAAACGGATTCAGCTGTCTTGAAAATAAACTCCCTTAACCCTCCGGTGCTAGCTTACCAAAAAGAAAGGAGGCTGCCCTTTCCCACTCCCTGGCAGACCCCTTTGCCTGAAGCCCTGGGAGGCAGGCAATCTAGAAAAAGAGAATGTCTCTAAGCCGCAACCCCAAGCCTCAAAATACATCATCTTACAATTTGTCCTCCTCTTTTAAAGCTCCATTCAGAGCAGATCACTTTGTTTTCCCAGGAGATCCAGTAATTTTAGGCAATGTTTCCGAAAGAAAAGACACTGCAATTAATGTTTGGTGAAGGAGTGTATTGAAGAGGACACAGGAACTTTGTAAAATGTCCAGTCACATCTTGACCATCTCCAGCAAAACTGCCAACTTGAAAAGCAGGCCCTGGAGCCAAATTGAAAAAAATCTCCAAAAGTACAAACACACACACACACAAAAAAAAGTGTCAAGGAAAAACAAAAATATATATTCCACTTTTCACATAATGTTCTGCCAAACCCCCTGCCCCAGGACCACACACATTTTGAGACGAAGCCTCATGCTGTGTGAGTGGTCAGGTCTTCTGCAGCCCTGAAGCAAGGTCTGGGAAAACGGCAGTGACACCAGTTGACAAGCTGGCAGGGCCGTGGTGGCCACACAGCTGTTGGCTGCTTCCAGCAAACTCGTTATGGGAAGAGAATCTCCACAGCTAGGGTGCTGGACTTCCAGCCCTTGCCTCCTCTCCAAGTGCTAGCTACCACGTCTACTTTAGCAATGTTGACTACTGTTGTTAACATGCCATTTAGGGTTACTCAATTCACAGGTTTCCTGTCCTGTGAAATACTTTACACAAGTTATCAGGAGATAATGTGGTCCCCACCAGTTTCCTGCTTATCATCTCACTCCATTTCTAATAGAATGTATTCTCCTCCATTTTCCTGGTCCAAAAGAACCTCTCACCACCACCAAAAAAAAAAAAAAAAATAGAAGCAGCCTTCAGAAGAAACTCTTTCAAGCTCTTGGTTTCCACGCTTCGAAGCCTTGGCCCAAAGCTGCACTGCTGCATAACAGTCCTCACCCCTTTCTCAATGTGATGGCACCACCATTCTTCAGTTATCACAGTACTGTACCTTTCAGATATACAGCATCGGTACCATGATAACCGAAAAAGGACAGTTCAGTCTCATATCTACCTGAATACTTCCTCCCACCCAGCTCTCCACCCACAGATGGCCATTTGATGACCTCTAAGTACATAAGCATGTGCATCTGTGCACATACACACAAACACAATGTCAGTACTCAAACAGGCAGTTTTCTCATTTACTATAGATAAATGCTTCTTTTGCTGTGCTGTTTATAATTCAAGTATCTGGTTAGCTGTTCCTTTTGGAGAGTGCTTGCTTTTCTATCTTAGCAGTCAACTTCTGCTAACATCCAATGGCCCACTTCTACCATTTCCCTACTTTGTCCAGTAGCATTACTGCAAACCCTGCCTTTCTTCTTCTTTCTCAGCCAGCTCATACCCTATCATATTGGACAAAAAAACTACCCATTTTGCCATAGCAAGTGAGACTGCTAGGGAAAAGAGCGATAGCGAAAACTAATAACAAAATCCAAGCTACAAAGAACCAGTTGTTTACCTCCAAAATGGAAACAGAATCTAAAGCACAAACAAAAGTACTGCCTAGCAGATATCACACAAATGTAGTTAGTTACATGGGAATGACAGATGGGAATGTGGAAAGAAAGGAAGGCAAAAGTCCTTGTGTATAAAAATAATGACCATGTTAAGAGTGACAACTGCTGGCTCATTTAAGGATCAATATAAGCAGGTGTTCACAGTGACTGGCTATGCACAACACAACATCTTTGTCATTTTGTGCAATTAGGAAATTAAAACTGGATAGAATAATGAAGTTGAAAGAAAGTAACTTACGTGTAGGGAGAGAGTGGTCCTAGCAGGACTTTGGAAACATCCTGCTGTCCAAGGGTCATGAACAGTAGAGCCAGGCTTTGGTTGGTCGAGTCCACACAGCCACCCTGTAAACACAAATTAATCATTGTACAAAGCAGAAAACGGACAAAAAAAGAGAGGAAGGGAAAAAACCCAGAAATATATACTCAGAATATCAAAATCCACAGAAGAGCAGCCTGCAAAGTCAGGAAATAATAAAACAGTATATAGATTTTATAATCCTTGTATTGACTAACTTTAGGGATTAAGCTAACAGGTAATCAAAGCAACTGTGATAGCTAAGATTATCCGAATGAATAGACATTCGAATCTCCTGAAGTGAATCTAATGAGAAATGAAACTTTCCCTTTATAATTAAAGCAGCAAGAGGATGCCATTTTTATTGAATGTAAGTCCAAAGAAAAGCACAATCAGTTCTAGGAAATGTATAGTTAATCCTAAGGATCAAGTAGATGACACTTATATTTATTTGTTATATATTTGTTCTGTTATAGAACACAGTCAATCTGACATGAAATAGCTTTTAGGGACTTACTATTACACTTACGCAAATACATTCAGAAACTGCTTGCCATGCTATATTAACTTCTCTATCTCCGCCTGCGTGCCTTATAACTGCAGAGCTGTTATATTTAAATCCCTCCATTCTTATCATTTAATTATTATTCCCCCCTTCCTTTTCTTCCAAATTAATAAGCAGGACAGAATTCTCTTTTAAACACTTTTTCCTGAAGCACAATTGCTTCGGCTGCCTTTCTTCTTTCATTCTTGATTTTTCTCAACCATTCCAGCCATTCTGTTTCTATTAGATGCATATATAACTGCTGTTTAAATTTGTACCTTAAAAATGTCTGTCTTTCTGGTCATTCTTTCTGGAATAACCTTATTTAAAATGACTTAAATTTAAATTATACATAGTAAAAGCAAGATGATTTCGAATTCCTACATATTTTGCACAGATCACAATAAGAAATCGTTTCTGACCACAGCATATTACTATCCAAGGCTAGACTGAACAGACAGGTGACCAGTCAGCACTGTTCATGTGGGTACACCCCCTCCTTTCTAATGTATGTAGGGTAGGGTGTAAATCAATTCTCAGGTGCAGACACTCATTCGCTGGCTGTCAGACTTCATTAGTAGCCTTGATAATAGTGTAAAAAAAAAAGGGGATTTATCCTACCACTAGCCTTTACGAAAATGTATTGCTCTTCCTTAAACTACCTAAGTTAATGAAGGACAGGGAACAATATTTATCTCGCTCAGCAAATTGTAGGACAACAAGAGTTCCTTTTCCACCCAAAAAGGAAAACCTGGCCCATGGAGAATATGAGGATCAACAAACTAATTCTGTGTCTTGCTCCCTTTCACGAGACTGCCTAAAATTAAACAGGTTCTCTTTAGATTCTGCTTCCTGTCACTGTTATTATTCCACTATTCTCAACTGATTCCTATCATATGCCAGACCAATATTTTCATGCAATAAATATGTTATGGTCCATGTACAGGACATCGTGGAGGGAGTGGGGAGTGGGTGCTATCAGACTGCCAAGGTGGGAGTGGGGGTAGTAGGGGTGGGGAGGTAGCAGGGGAGAGGGAGGAGGTATCACTCTGCCGACACCAGAGGATTTGGGGAGTGGGGACTTGAGCTAATCCTGGAGGGAAGAGCAAGGTTGGGAGAGGAAGGAAGGGCAGGACAATGGGGGAAATAATGACCCAGAGCCAGCAGGGAACAGCCAGGAAGCCAGCCTGAAAGGCACTGCGAGCCGTCTGTGGAGAAGTATGTACAACAGAGAGAACGTGGGCAGCCAAACTGAGGTGGTGCTTTCCTAAATGGGTCAAGAATTCTGACTTCATCTTAGGAAAGTGGAAAACTAATGAGGGTCTCTGTGCACAAGAATGAAGGGATCAGATCAGAGTTTTAGATGGAGATTCGGACTGAAAAGGGTGTTGCAAGGGATTTGGAAAGAACCACCTCTCTGGAGATGCAAAAGGCCAGAACGCACAGTGCAGGAGTGGGGCAGGGCGGGAAGGCAGGCGATGGATGGAGCAGTGACGAGGATGGAAAGAAAAGGGCAGTACCACAAAGCCTGGGACAGAATGGAGAGAGCTTGGTGACTGACAAGAAAACAGGAGGGATTAGATCAGAGGCTTAAAACTTTGATAACCACCACCTTTAAAAGGGATGGATTTTTACTACTCATTCAAATCATGTCATAGCACAGTTCTGAAGAGAATTATTCAGAGAAGAATGAAGTATTTTCACCCTTTTTAATAATAAAGATCATGGGCACACAAAGGAAATTTTCTTAATGACTAAAACAAAACAAAACAAACTTCCTCCAGGCATAATGAAATGGTTTAATGTAGATCTCAACTGAAGAAAAAAATTCAAATAACCTAATCCAAGCTGCATGTTTTTCCTGTTGTAGACTGGTGGGCTGTGCTTTCACCCTGAGTTTTATCATCTGCTATTTATGGGGATATGAAGCCCACACTGTAGCTGTGCCCATAGGCTCCTGCTGGACTGCTCTGTAATGTGATGCTTCCAATTCTCCCACGGTCTACTAGAAAGGGATGGAAGTGTCCCCACAGTCAGTCAGAGAGAAGGCCTGCCAGCCACTACACGACAAAGAAAAGAAAACCTGCACAAGTCAACAAGGGGCTTAGGATCACATATATCAGATACCTTTTCTCCCCACTTAGAAATGTTTGGATGACAAACTTGGTGAATTAAGTAATTGGCAGGGCAACCTCCTGATCATTTACCCCTAAACCTTTAGTTACTACCCACCTTTCAAAAAATTACTAAATTTAGCATGAAAAATGGAACTGATTTAGCATCCAAAAATCTGAGGCCAGCCCTTGACTGCACAGGACTTGTGAAAAAATACCTCCTCCTTCAGGAGGATTTCATCTCCTGCCTCTAAGATTTCCCAACTAAACGGTGAATAGAGAGGACAGAGCCCCTATTCAAACTTACCTGCCCTGCCAGGGCCAGATCCAGTGAGCCTAGATCTCTACTTACTATTTCAACTAATCTATTAAACCAATTAATGCTAAACTCTTTGGCTTAAGTCCTTGGAAGAGGAAGAAAGTTGCCAGGGGGTAAGAATGAGAGACAACAAACTACTTCCTGATCAATCCTCTCCCAGACCCTGCAGAGGCCGAGGACATACCCTGTAGATTTCCTCCAGCAGCAGCCTGGCACAGTTCCTGCCGAGGTCCTCTGGAAGCACTGCTGTTCCCTGGCCCTGGGGGTTGGAGGCCAGTTCAGCACTGAGGAAGGTGCCATTGGTGGTCTCAGCAACCAGTGACAACCCAAAGCCGGGAGACCTGGGGATACAAAGGCAAAGACACTGAGTAGGGTTAATGAAATGGGGTTTATATTCACCAGCAAATAGAAAGAGAAGACACTTTTTTGGTGGCACTGTATTCTAAGTTCTAAGGCTTCCTTCTGGCTACATTAACCTCATAGCATTGCTATTAGCTTACACTGCAGACGTGGATGACTTAGTGAGGGCCTTAGTGAGGGCACAGAAGGCAGAAACAAGAAAGATGAGAGATCGAATTGCTTTTCCTATTAGCCCTCCCTTCCTCTATCTCCTACACTGTACATGCTCATACTGTGAGAGATTATAACAATCAACAGTATATAAGATAACATTAACAAGGGCTACCAGATACTGAGTACCTACTTTCTGCCAATCACTGAGATAGGGGCTTTGCAAATAGAATTTGTGATACTATATCTCTGCAGAGTAGATGTCACTGTCTTCATTTTACAAATGAGGAAATGGAGAAATGAAGCAACCTGTACCAGGTCCACACAACTAGAACGTGAGCTTCAAACAGAGATCTCCCAGATTCCAAAGTCCACACAAGTTCCCCGCCACAGTGCTGACTCGACCCTCAGCTACACCAACTCAGGAGGTATGAAAGGCCTGGAAACCACCTGACCAGATCGTCCCAAAAAACATCAGGCTTTTGCCCTCATAAGGAAAACGGCCACACAAGCCAGAAAGGGACTGGAAAAGATACACCTTTACGTTTTTGTCCCCAAGGGACAGCTCTAAACTTAGACTTAATTATATTATCAATGAGCTGGCACCATGTTCTCTCCTATTGTGTTTCCACCACCCAACAGCCAGAACCTAACAGCCTTCTTGCCCAGGACCATCACTGATGCATCCATTCATGCATCCAACAAACACCTGGGAGAAGCTTCCATGGGTCAGGAACTGGGGACATCAGGGTAAACACCAGACTTCCTGCCCTCACAAACTCTAGTGACAACCAGTTTGGCCACAAAAGAAAATCAGTCCAAAAACAACGAAACAAGCACCTCTCCACAAAATTGTAAAACCTAACACCTCAAATCTACTTTGCCCAATGCCTTTTAAGTAAAAATGTCATCAGGAAAGGCACAGCAGCCTTCCCAGCAGTCCAATCCACATACTGTCACAATACTGACCTTCCTCCTTTAACACAATTTATGGTCATGAAATGCTTTCTGTGTGTCCAGCAGACCAGCCAAAATATTTGTTTCAGAAAAACTATGTGTAAAATTAGTGATGTTTCAAATGTACTATGTGGGCTCACTATATGGAAAAATTATATTGGTCAGTCCTTAACTTCTTAAAAATAAAATTCAACTACCTATGCAGTCAGGGGTTAATAATGCTTGCCAAGGGAAGGGGGTGCAGTGAGTTACCCATTTAATCAAAGGTTCTGGACCATGATTGACCTTTCCAACCCTCAGAAGGGCCAGCTTTGCACACAAACCCTTTCCCAACCCTAACCTCTGATGCCACCACCTTCATTGCTTTGGACTATGAGCCCCCACCGTATTTCTAAAATCACCTTCATTTTCCATTGGGCCTTATGAAGGTCAAAGATCCCATAAAACACTCTCCCCTCCTTTACTCTCTTTTCTTCTTTTTGCTGAAGTTAAAAGAAACCACAGGTGGAACAACTGAAAAAAAGGCTCAGCTGTGGTAGCACATAGGAAAAAGCTGACTTCTTAACCAACAACACTCAACCCCAGAGTCGGATGCTCTTATTTTTAGGAGGCATAAACTATAAACTTCAGATTCAAAGTGTAATGATGCCATCATTCAAATTAAAGTAGTTCAGCAAAAAAGAGTAAGAAAGAAAACACACAAACAAGTAAAGAAAATTTGGCAAAATATTCATTGTTAACTATAGCCAGTAGGAATATAAACAGGTGTTCACTATACCGTTCTTTAAATGTGTCTGTATATTTAACATTTTCACAACTAAAAAAAAGTGGTTTCAGTAGCTCCCATGACTTCCTGGTTTCTAAATACATAAGGAAGGGCTAAAACAGGCATTTTTCATTACACAGATTATCACTTTTTTTCTATTTTGGTTTTATTTCTTTTATTTTCCTTAATTTTTTTTCTAATTTGTAAAATTTTTACTTAGTTTTTTTATTTTTTAGCAAAGCAAAGGATTTAACTAAACGAAATTCAAATCTGCAACAACAACTTTCTCTGGATTTAGGTATGTTGTTTCCCCAGATAGAGAGAGATGCTGACATTCACTTAGATAGCAAAGGATTTTAACCCTATACTGTTGTTTACTCAGAGTTGAAGAACCTGTTTAATTTTTTGTTGGAACAAAGTATAGATGGGATTTCTTTTTCTTTTTTCTCTTTTGCACCTCCAGATCTCGGGCAAATATGCAGATGGGATTTAAAGTTTGAAGCACTATTTATTAATAGATAGTTTTTAATTCCCAAAAGCTAGGAACTAAACCCTCCGCTTTCGGCACTAGCCACTGGGATGCTTTCCATGCAACAGGCGCTCAAGAAATGCCGGCTGCTGACAACAGGAACAAGTCAGAAGGAAATTAATTCTGAAATTGTTCTTCCTTTGGCTGCCCAACCTCAGAGCTGGCAGTTATGACTTCAACTAGAACAGACATATGAAAAAGGCTGGGGTAGCTGCAGAAGTAGACTCCAAAAATGCAGACTTACTTCCCAGAGTTGACCCCCTTCATGTGGTCTGTGTAAATATAGATGTCGGGTATGAACTTGTTCAGGATGCTCCTCGCAGAATCCACAATCCGGTTCGCCATCTGAGGTGACACACGCACGGAGTACCTACGACCTAGAGTTAAGGATGTCGTTCTGCTTGGACTCCAGGACAGAGAAAAGTCAGTTATAAAGCTGGCAAACAACTGTGAAACTATAATAACAAACTGGGACTTCCAATTGTATTAATTACTTTACTTTATAGTATCTTTATAATAGTACTGAAATTTTTTTCATTACAATTATATTAGGCTCACATGGGCATGGTGAAAAAAATCCAAATGATGCAGAAAGCAGAAAATATAAAGTTAGAGTTCCTCAACCCTGGCCCTGACTTCCCACCCAAACCACCCACCCTTAGAACCTAATGCCAGAAAAGACACCACCCTGGGGTTAAGCTGGGACAGTCCCAATCTGCCCCCTGGTATGCTGACAAAGGAAGCAAAAAATGTGCCGTGAAAGAACAGGGTGGCTGCTATTTGTAAAGAACTAAACAGGTATTCCTAATTTATAGAGTCTATTTTCTATTATTTAAGAATTAATTACTCCACTTGTGGATGAAACAGCCTCCTTACACCTGCTTCCTTATGGTCAAAATGCCAATAGTTAACACTCCTACAACAGGGCACCCCAGAAAAGAAAGGAGGAAGACATTAGTAACTCAAGTGAAAGGGCTCGAGCTTGAGGAGACAGAAACCTAAAATTAGACTTTATAACAGAGGCTGGCTCTCTCCATCCCCACATGTCAAAGAAAAAATAAGTATGTACTGTGTACTTTCAATGTTCAATGTACGGTCAAGAGCTGGTTGTACATGTGGCACTAAAAAAAAGGAGCAATAACCCTGATACAAACCCCACATGGCAAGTCCAATAGGCAAAACAAGGTATGTGATCTGCACCTTCCAGCCCAAACTGTTCAAGAATTACTGTCAATATAAATTTTAATTTTCATTTGAGCTGTAGAAACAAAATGCTCAGAGATCATGAAAGGAACCTGACCTGGCATCTAGCTCCCTTTTGGGCCTGTCCTGCACACTCCACTAAAAGATCAATCCTATGCTGATGAGAATCCTCCAGTGACTGGTGACCCTCCCACATCCTGCTGTCGGAGCCCCCACCCTGGCTCAGTGTGTCCATCCCCATCTCAGTTCCATAAGCCCCTCCACCCAGCCAAATTATCCAAACTCTTCAACCTGAGCTGCCCTCCCTGTTTCTTCCAGCATCAAGTTCCCTCTGTCCCCTGAAACCCTCCAGCCAGCACCCAACTGTGGTCTCCACTTGAACTTACCATGCACCTCTCTTCACAGACACACATTTTGTTCCTACTCTTCAACGAGACCACACACTCCATAAGGGCAGGGGCTTTACTTCTGTATCCCTCATAAGTCTCTAATACACTACTTTTGTACTCAGAAATGCTCAATAAATATTTGACTTGAATTAAAGGACAAACCTGAAATGAGGAAAGAGCAAAGAGGGATTTTTCAATACACACACAGAGCCCAGTTACATCACCACCTCTTTGGTCCAGAACGTACTTTTGAACACAGACAGCTTAGACAAACAGTCCCATGTCTCATACCCTTTGGACTGAGTTGGTGCTACCCTTCTGAGGCTGCCCACTCTCCCCAGGACAACACAGGAGATGTCACTGTCCTAACATATATTCCCACAGCATTCATGGCTGCCAGATACATTATCACCTTATTTTGTGCTCACAGCAACCCTGTGGCAAGGGCCATGATTCTTAGTTCTAGGGCTACACTAAGGACAACTAAGACACAAAACTAAGATACTTGCTCAAAATTAAACAGATCTGACTCCCAGAAAACATCTTCTTCCTCTCACCCCTCCAGAGATGGAAACTGGGAGGGTAACAGGACCAATTCAGGGCCAATGGAAGCCCATACTAGAATTCAGGCAGCGAAATAGAGAAGGCAAAGGAGCTTTAAAGCAGAGACATTGAGTTATTTAGAGCCATCTCATCTGGCTTGGCGTGGAGGCCCTACTGAGGGATGGCTAAGTACCTGAGTTCCAGAATCAGACTATCTGTGTTCAAGCCCCAGCTCCTGCAAACTGCATTATTCTGGATCAAGTGTGCTAACTGCTCTATGCCTCCACTTCCTCACCAGTAAACGAAGAATAATCATAATACTTCCCTCATCCAGTCTGGAGGCACAAATGAAATAAAATGTTTATTAAAGTGCTTAGAGCCAGGTGTGCAGTAGGAGCCCAGCAAATGTCAGCTATTGGTTTTCTTATCAGCCCAAGATTCAAACCCCAAAGCAGAGGTTCCTATCCTTTCAGGAATCAGAGAGCCCTCTGAGAATCTGATGAAAGCTATGGACCCTCTCCTGAGAAACATATGTGCCCTCACAATTTTGCAGAAAATTTCAGGGTTTTGTGAACCTCCTAAAGTCCATTCATCAACACCACATTAAGAACCAATACCCAAGAGACAAGTTCATAGCTACAGTCCACATGGGACTCCCACCACCCTTCATCCACCCTAGTGTTCCAGGTAAGAGAGGGCTAAGAGGGGTGCGTGTGTGTGTGGTGGTGGTGAATGAGAGAGAGAGAGAGAGAGAGAGAGAGAGAGACACTGATTGATTCTCAAAGTACCTTCCCTATAGTCAAGAAAAGGAAACCAGATCATCCCACAAATTCCAACTCACCTCCTCGTCTGCCTTTACCCCAGCTTCTTCACTTTATGTACCAAATCATAAGCTACTGGGACAGCACCACAAAACTAAAACAGAGTGCTCCGCTCTGTCGCCCCACATCAGGCAGGAAGGAGAATCAGCGTGGGTGGCATTAAATAAAAGGTAACTACTGTCTAGTCACAGCTGCTGGCAGGAACCCACACCAGCTCCCTCCCAGGCCCTGGCCAGTAGGTCATCAAGTAGAATGCAAGAGGGAAAAGATGTGCTTTGGGCAGTAACTCAGTTAAAACCACAAATGCACACAGGAGAGGGGAGCCAGTTCTCCCAACCTGAGCCCTCCTAGGAGGAATACAACCTCCAAGCTCAGCTCAGCAGTCAACCAGCCTTGCCTGTAAAAAAAACCACAAACCAACTAAATAAAGCTTTTTCCAAAGGCAGCGCTTTTTTCCCAGGCCTCAAAACTGGCAAAGAAGGCGATCCCCATTCAAACCCACATTCCTTTGAGGTGTTTGTTAAATGGGCAGCTCTGCAGACCAGAGGCTGGAATGTTTGGTCTACAGACAGGGATCTGACCAAGCCTCTGTGTCAACTTTCCAGGGGAGTTAGGACGAAGCCTCTGTAAGTCAGAGATATACTGGGGATGGTTTAGGTGTCCTGTCCCCTGCCTCCAGGAAGGGAGGGACTTGGGACCTCACAAGTGTCTTCCTGGCTCAGGTTCTACTAAGGGAAAGTTCAAAAAACGTAAGTCAAGGGAAGAACAAAGTTACACCCAGGGTGCCGGGACACCAGAGCTCTTTTTGCCAGCATCCTCATCTAAGTACTGCTCACAAAGCATTTGCACATCCAGATAGAGAGTACTGGGGACCCCAATTTTAACAGCCTCCGTGAAACCCACGTTGTTATGACAAGATTGTAGCAAAAGAAAGCACAATGCTGGAAATCATATTTCCATATTACAGAGAATGGATTCCAAGCTGCGTTCACTGCTGCAAAACAGCATTTAAGGAAACACATCTCAAATGAGAAAAAAACCCTGAAATAGTCCTGTAAGTATGTAGGATTTCATGTACAAGGCCATTAACTGCAGCATTTTTATAGAAAACAACTCAATGGCCATTAACAGGGTTTGATTTTGGGTTCTTTATATGATGGAAGCAATGTGCCTGTTAAGAAAGAATGAAATCGATCTATACGGAACTAACACCGATCAAGCAGAAAAGACAAATCTGGTTTGTTTTTAAAAAAAAAAACAAAACACTTCTATTTACATTGTATTTCCATCTCTTTTAGGCTTCTCATTAACCTTCTTCCAACTTCTCAGAATTGGAGAATATTAGAATTGAACATCACCTTAGTAAGTCACAGGGTCAATTTAACAATCCATCAAGCTGAGGGCTCCCAGAATGGGAACCATTTCTCTTCCTGTCCACTCTCTCCTGGTACATACATGGCTTGGCCCTTAGGTGGGCTCCCAGACAGCCATGCAGAGCACAGAGCACAACCCAGGCAAGCTTTATTCATACTCCTCTGCTCTTATAATCCCTGCAAAGAACTTCAAGCAGAACCCTAAGTTTGATCCTTTATCTCAACTACTACTCTCCACTTGTGTCTGTGCAGCCTACCCCATTCCATGTCCTTCGCCACTTAATGTTCAAGCTAATCAAGGCTTCTGAAAAGTCAGTCCACACTACACTTCTTTTTCTCCAAGTAAGACCATCCCAAACCTCCTGAGAAATACAAAAGTGACTTTAAGCATCTGCTCTCCCACCCCAAGATGCAGGCATCCTGGCCTACCTCCCTTGTCACGCTCTCACCAGGAGACACCATCTATCTCCCTAGCCTCCAACACCTGTCCCCACCTGGATCATGTCAGCACCTAAGACTTTACCACTCTTAATATCTGAAATCCCAAAACAGCATTTCCTAAGCACAATCTCTTGTCCCAGACAAGACACATATCTATTAGGTTAGTGAGTATAAATATCTGATTTCCTTAAGTACTGAGTCTTTGACATTTCAGTTTGACAAATCGTGTTGTTTTTATTGTGAAGGTACAGCCTTACTCTTTCAAAGGCACATTTTGACTTGTGATTATCTTTCTTATTTTTTTAAGAGCAATTTTTGTAAAACCATGGATAAGTCAAAAATCTATGTTATTTTTGAATATGAGTTCTGTCACGGAACCAATGCGGCGCAGACAGCTCAAAATATCAACAAAGTGTTTGGGAAGGTTGTGGCTAATGAATACACAGTATGTTGACAGTTAGACCAGTTCCATTCTGGTAATTTTAATCTTGAAAATGAGCCACGTGAATGACCTGAGACCAAGGTGGATAATGATGAGCCGAAAGCAGTAGTGGAAGCAAATCCATCTCAACCTACGCGTGAAATAGCAGCCAAGTTTGACATTACTGCTACAAGAATATTGGACCATTTGAAACAAACTGGCAAGGTAAAGAAGCTGGATAGATGGGGTTTTGCACGAATTAAATGAGTGTCAAAAGAAAAATCATCTCGAAGCTTGCCTTTCTTTGAGTCACAACATAAAGGCGAACCATTTATACACCATATTATTACGTGTGATGAAAAATGGATCATTTTTAACAATCTCAGTGCCTCCTACTATACAACCACACCCAACCTCATGTAACTTAATTGTCTACATGCCACACCGCAGGTGTAACAGGCCCAGTGATACAGGAGGCAACCAGTGCTTGGGGCCAAAATGCCCCCGTCAGGAAATGGCAGAGCCAGCATCACAATCCATGTCTATCTGACCCCAGCACCTTGGCTTTCAGTCACCGTGTTACCTTGCTCCAACGGTATCCCTCTCTCCTACTTAAGTCCACTTTAACCAACCTATGAAAACACTCAAATCATTACTTTTTTTCAAAAGGGAGGGAATCTTCCCCACCCTCTCTTCATCAAGTTACCATCTCATCATTCTTTCTCCCTGTCTTTCCTGTCAAGATTCTGGAAAGAGTGGCTCCCACACGTCACCATTTCCCTCTCCTTCACTCCACAACCCAGAACTGGTCACCTGGGCATGGTCTCCACCACCCTCTGGAAAGAGCTCTTCCTGGGGGCATGAGTGGCAGCCTGGGCACTCAGCTTTCTCCCAGCCTGATGCTCACTCTTCAGGCCCTTTACGGTGCTGATGTGGGAAGCTGTGTTTTCTTGATTCTCTTCTCAACTCTCTGACTTTCCTTCTAACTTTGGTCTTGCTTTCAGATTTTGGTGGCCTCTCAGGCTTCCACCTCCTCTCTTTGCCCTCTATGTGGTAGCTAATTCCAGCTACCTTCAGCTCTTCACTGGCTCCTGCCTGTCTTCATGCCCCACCTCCTACCACCAAATGTCACCCACCAACCTGAATTCTGGCCACATGGCATTACTGGCCACTCCCCAGAGCACTGTCACATCTGTGCAGGCACCCCTCCTTTCTTGCTCCATTTCACAAGCCTTGCAAGCCTCTATTCTTCATGGCTCCATTCTATAAGAAAAAGCAGGGCTAGACACCTGAGTTCCAGAGTTAAACAGACAGGGTTCAAATCCCAGCTCTGCCACCATTAGCAGTTAAGCTCCTGATGCCTCAGTTTCCCTATTTGTAAAACAGGATGTAAGTGAACTCAAAGAATTATTCTGAGGCTTAAAAATAAGATATGTAAAGTGATTATTGAGGTACATGCAGAGCAAGCACTTAATAGTAGAAATCTTTCATTATTATCATTCCAGCCCTCCTACATCCTCCAGACAAAACTGGCACTTTCTACTCTTAGCCTTTCCGACCCACTGCATCATTTTGTAAGTAATATCAGAATTATGTATTTGTGTATTTTTTCCCTTCACTGGATGATGTACTCTTCCGAGGCAGGGACTGCAGTGCATTTGTGGCCCCCGAACCAAAGCCCTCAAGAAGGTATCGCACATACGGGAGGCACTGCTTAAGTATTAACTGGAAAAAAAAAGAAAAAGGAGTGACTCAATCAATCTAGTCATGGTGAGGCAGATAATAAAACATCATATCTCAGCCAACAATTACAATTTCACTGTTAAGGCTTTTCCAAGACTGTATTAATAGTTTAAAATGTAAATAACCTTGGGAAGAAGTAAAGCGGCCAGTCATTCTTATCTTAGTAAGGCAAGGAAAAAAATAAGAAATCTAAACCAAATACAAAGGATACGCCATTCCTCTGATACGTTTGATTTTTCCTGGATCTGTGAGCTGAATGGGCTTCAGGACCTTCCGTATAGGACATGAGAAAACCACTTCGCCTCCTCCTCCAGGAGGCATTCCCCGTCGCACAATCTGCACATGGTGAGAAAGATGAGGCCAGAACTCAGCAAACCAGTGGATCACCCTGACGCCCAACCCAGGGAGGCTTACACCAACAGGCTCTTCCTGACAAGGCAGACAGTTCATTCATAGTCAACTTGTCAATCCCTTCGAGACCAACAGCATCTTCTGTTAGCTCCAAGAGGGCACGTGCTCAGCAGCACGTCATAGTCAAAGCAGATTGCCCAAGTGGCTCTGCCTCTCATCTGTGTCACCTACAACCCTGAGCCGAACACTTCACCACCAGGGCCTGTTTTTTCATCCTTAAAATGAGAAACTGGCCTCATTCATCAGCTGATCCCATTTCTTAGCCATCAGGAATCCCTTTTTCTCCTACCATGCAACTGATCTATCAAAACTCCACATTATTAAATAAAAGTAGTCTTTTCTTCTGTTTAAAAACATCAATTTAAAAGGTACAGATGCTAAACCACACTAGATCGATATAATTCCTTTCAATAATAAACAGATGCTTAAATTACTTCTACTAGGTTTTGCAAATATAGAAAATTCTTGAGTACATCCTGGTTGGGAGCCCCTAAACACAAACTATATCTAGGATCATTTAGATCAGAGAGGTAATATACCCAAATCCTACCTGCACTACTAATTAGCTGAGTGGCACAGGAATTAATGTATGTGAAAGGCTTACAACAGCCCCATCACAAATTAAATACAACATAATTGTTGGCTACTATTATCAGTACTAAAGAGTCCCTTTTAGTTCAAAGTCTGTAGTGTTCATGAGCCCTGAGGGTCTTCTAAAAAATGGTGACTTCAAATGTGAAACACACACAGTGACTCACACAGCTCTTCCAATAAGTTGATAAGAAAATGTTTTACACAGATACAGTCAATAGTTCATATGTTCTTACCTTTAGCTCAAATGATTCACCATCAATCCCAAACTGTTTCAATAGAGGGAGTGCTGTTGCCTTAAGAACATCAACCTATGAAATTGTTTCAGAAAAAAAAAAAAGGTTAATTAAACCTTGGGCAGACAGAAAGAAGACAGAGTCCAAGAAGCACACAAGGTTTAGCAACCAAGTAGATAATGCAGTATGATAAACAGAAAGGATTCTGGCTTACACTGAGGACATGGGCTGGCTGTGCCCTTCAGTAAAACTGCGATTTTACAAGCTCCTGGGCTTTTCTGAGCCCCTCTCCTTGCTTATGATGGAAAGACCTTATACCTACACCACATAGTCACCATGAGCATCAGATGCAATATGCAAAAAGCACAGAGAAACTGTTGGGCTCATACAGAAAATAAACTAGGACCCCCTTGTTCATTCTTATAGGTATAAACACTAGAAAAGAAAATATTAGCCTTCTTTATTAAACTTTTCCCAATATAGTTGCTTGCTTAATATTTAGAACTGGAAGCTCTCCGGGTCAAAGCAAACCAAAAGAACTATTCAACAGCTAACTTAAGAATCTTGATTATGTGCACCATACAGGCAGCTAAAGGGAGAGGAGGATGGAGAGGAATGAAAGCCTCACACTACATGATGCGCACAAACCCCCAACTACAATTGCAACATCCACTGTTAATGGCAAGACTTTGCTACGTGTTACTGTTACCTCTTACCCATTCAGAGCGCCTAGCAAGTCTGGCTTCTTTCTTATTCATTTGTGGATTCCTCATAGAATAAAAAGATGACATTCAAATCACGTATTTTTTATTTAACAAGTAACAAATGTTGCCTTAACTGCAACACAGGAAAGAAAATTACTCCCTTACTTGCTCCCGATGGAGAGAAGCAGAGAGGGCCCATAGCACAAACGGAGGCTGTAGGGAGAGCACTCACTGGTTCTGCTCTGGACTCTGCTTCTAATTAGCTGCGTGGACTCAGACAAGAAAATCACAACTATCTGAATCTCCTTATCTCTAAGGTAAAGGACTCAAGCCTGGCTGTCTCTGAAGCTGCCACCAATGCCAACAGAGTTGGAGAGGCCCCAAGGAAGCACTGTATTATCAGAAAATTATCAGCCAGGTGCAGTGGCTCACGTCTGTAACATTAGCACTCTGGGAGGCCGAGGCAGGAGGATCACTTGAGCTCAGGAGTTTGAGACCAGCCTGAGCAAGAGGAAGACCCCACCTCTACTAAAAATAGAAAAAATGAGCCAGGTGTGTTGGTGCACATCTGTAGTCCCAGCTACTCAGGAGGCTGAGGCAGAAGGATCACTTGAGCCCAGGAGTTTGAGCTTGCTGTGAGGTGGCTGATGCCATGGCACTCTAGGTTGGCAACAGAGTGAGACTCTGTCTCAGGAAGAAAAAAAAATTACCAGAGGTAGAAATGATCTGTAAGGCCCAATAACATGTTCTAAATGGATGAGGTGGGGCAGGGGCAGTGACTAGGAAAACCCATTAAATATTAGCTAATTTCAATTAAATATTAATGCTAAATACACCTAAAAACTTAATTGCCAGAACAGGAAGAATTCAGTCTAGACTAAATTAAGGTCAGCAGGAATTTCAGAATTCCAGCCAGATTCTGAAAAAGTGGGGGAAGCAAGGATGTCCGTTACTGTGGAATCAGACAGCCATGCACTATCCTGGGAAAAGGAAAGTGAGAAAACAGAGTGTTCCTACTGTCTCGTCCTTTCTACAGATTCACAAAGGATGAAGCCAAATTTACTCAGAGGGTCAGCCAGAAGCCAAAGTGTAACTCCAGGTATAGTCCCGTCTCCTAATCGCTCTCCAGCGGACTTGGAGGGCAGGCAACGTAGGGCAGTAGGACAATGGCTGGAAGGGCAGAGGCTCTGACACCCACTGTGCCTCTCACTGGCTGTTGAGACTATTTTGAAAACTATCTCAAAATACCTCTTCAAAAGGAAATTTCAGATGCACATTTTCCCAAGTTATCAGAGGTCATTGATGAGCAGGATGATACATTGCAAATCATCTGAAGAATATGCAGCTGTTGTAGCCCTATTAATTGGAGAATACAATGAAAGGTTCACTGACTTTGGGAATCATGACATCACACTCAAAATAGCATTTCAGCCTCACCTAGTTGATATCACCAAGGCACCTAAAGAACTACAGATGGACTTGATTGAGCTCTCAGTAGATGACAATTTATAGTCATCTATAAAATGTCACTGGACACTCCCCTGTCTCCAGACCTCCATTTCTTCCTATAGAAGGAGAGAGGCTGGGCTGGACACTCTCTATGGTCTTCTGCAGCTCTGCACACTCTAGTTGCAGCTGAGTGAGGATGGTCTGCAAGTTCTGCTTAGGGGACACTGAGTGGTCACTCTGTGGTCAGGGAGAAAAGGCAAAGATCTGACCCAAGTGGCACCTCAGGGCAAAGGCATTACCCTTACAGTGCAGCCAATCAAGCAACAGGTAGAAATGTGATGCTCCACGCCAATTCATGCTGATAGAAGAGTAGAAACCTGCTGCTCTCCACTTATCTTATCTGAAACAGACAGGAACACCCACCTTGTTGGGTTGGTAGAAGAATTAAATAAATATGGATATACACATACATACACATGTACACTTCAAACAATGCCCAGCGTGTGGTAGGCATTATTCTACTTCTTTTTCCTTTCTAGGAGGGAACTGAAAAGGAATGGCATCTTCACCCACCATTGGACCAGCTTGTTGGCACCCATAAATATTTACTGCAGGCTCTGGTGCCATATCACTGAGATTCAGAGGAGACCTCTTGGAATTTTTCTTCTTTTTTTCAAAATTTCTCCTCATTTCCTCACCTCTTGCCTCTAAGGAAAAAATGTCCCTACCTCTTTCTAAGGCTCATCAATGCCATCACTACGGCCTTTAATCCTCATCCCAGCTGGACTTCTGCAAGGGCCCTCAGATCTTTATTTTAATTCTTTCTTTTTCATTATAGCTTCTCCTCAGCCTACAAGCAAGTACAAGTTTCCAGCCCAGCCTAAGGAAAAAAAAAAAATCCATAACTCAGCTCTTAACCTTCTGGAAGAATCTCCTAACTTTCTGCAGCTCTAGTTCCTACTTATTCCTGGAGCCTGGTCTGCTTCCTTACACTCCAATGAGTCTGCTCTCTGAAAAGTCAATAAAACTGCTCAATGCCCAATCCTGACCCAAACCCTGCAAAGAGTTCATCCTTGGCTTCTTAGAGCTCATCTCCTGCTTGGCTTCTCTGAAGACTTCTAGCCCCACATTCACTCTGTCACTAGGTCTTCTTCCCCAACTCACATTTAAACACTCATTTGCCCTTCTTCCATTCTCAGCCCCTTGGACCATGGGGCAAAAACTCTAATGTCCACAGAGGCCAAAAGGAAATTTAAATGAATGATAAAGCCCACTGCGACCTATGTCCAGCTGGAAAGCTGATGCCTTACCTAAAGAGAGCACTGCCACTCAGATCCCACAGATGGCTGTCATGAAGGCACAGCGATTCAGTGCTGTGACACTGCCCTGCTCTAAAGTGAAACCTGAGGCTTTAAACACAAACAACCCATTCAGATACACACACACTACCACTACCACCACCACCACCACACCGTAAGGAAAACACCTTCATGATGACTTCACCCAAAAAGCTATCAGTGTTCAATCTCAGCACCAATTTATCTCTTACTCCTAGAAATTTAACTATTAACTATCAGTAGACCAGACATTAATTTCCAACTGCCAAATGGATATCCCCATTTGGTTACGCTGCCAACATCCCAGGGGACAGGACCCAAATCAAACACATCACCCATTATCCTATCACAATTATCCTCATTTGGTTATGCTGCCAACATCCCAGGGAATGGGACCAAAATCAAATACATCACCCTGTGATATCCTATCACAATTCTCCTCTTCCCTATGTCAAGCTCTTTCTGATCATCACATCCTTTTAGTTAACCACAATAGAAATCATGGAGTCATTTACGGCAACTTCCTCTCGTTCCATCTTCAATTCGTTGTCAAGTTATGAAGTCCCTATCTTTCATATCTGCCCCTGCATTTCCACTTCCCTCTCCATAACATCCAAACTAGTCTATCATCCTCTCCAATTTATCATTCACTCAACCTCCAGAATTATCTTCCTAAAACCCAGACTGACTCTGAGTTTCTCCCCTCTAGGAACCCTGACACTTAGCATTTTGCTTGTACTTCTAACAGAACCCAAGGGTATTGAGTCTTGTAATCTCCCCTGACAGGTTCACAACTGTCCTCCCATAAGACCAGGAGTTCTTTAAGGGCAGAATCATTAATTTCATCCTATATGTAGAAAGTAGATGCAGATATGAACTAATGAGGAAACCACACAAAAAAGAGTAAGCTAGAAATGAAGAAGCCATGAAATTGACTGAAGAAGTTACTCTTTTTCCAGGATTAGTCATATTTATTCTACCTTGGGCTCGAGTAATGTACCAGTCATGCAGATGGCAAAAGCAGATAGTCCTAAGCATATGAAAACACATTTTTTTAATACTCTGCATAATAGAGTTAAGTACCATTTCTGAGCTTTGCCACTGTTAATTATATAAAACTTTTTTAATATTCACAGTGAGAAAAGTTTTTAAGTTCATTAGTAACCACAAAAAAAGAGTATATAATTGAGACATGACACTGCTAGAATCCCCTGTACACTTCAGGGCCTTTTCCCATTGTTTGAGACACCTCCTCCTCTTCCAATCTAAGTGTATATATGCCTCCTCTCACACTTTTAACCAGAGGCCCAATTTCCTAGAATCTCCCAGAAAATGCAGAAAAAAAGCAGTCATTTAAATTAAAAATTCTAAACAACTTACACAACATTCTTTTACTATTTAAGAATTTCAGATCTTCTACTATACTCAGTGCCCTAGGGAAAAGAGTTTATGTAGCTGAATTTCCAAGAAGTGAGGAATAAGTCTTTTACTGTCTAAGAACATATTATGGTTATACCCTAGTATAGGGGTAGGAAACCTTTTCATGTTGGAAGGCCACATTAATTTAGCTATAATCAAATAAGGCCACATTCAAGAAACTTCAATTAGATATACTTGAAAATGTAAATTATTTTGCAAAAATCCAACTACTATGTAGTTAATTTAAAAAAAATATTTATTAATTTTTAAATTAACTAACATTCTAATGACTTTGTTGTGTTGGCTTTTTGTTGGAAAGCTTTGTGAATATTTGGTTGCAGTATGGAGTTCTGAAGTTTTAGTTAATCCTCTAGATGGGTACCATCATTTGTAACCTTAAAGGCATCTTGATTTGGGTTAGGCAGGAAATGTAGATTTGCAGCATTAAGTGGTTGAAAAGCAAGAAAGCATTTTTCGGGCATGTTGACAATGGTGTTCTACTACATTTTTCCATATTTCAATTGGATCTTTCTTAGCATCAAATAATGACTATAAAATGTCATCTACTGAAAGCTCAATCAAGTCCATCTGTAGTTCTTTAGGTGCCTTGGTGATATCAACCAGGTGAGGGGCTGAAATGCTATTTTGAGTGTGATGTCATGATTCCCAAAGTCAGTGAACCTTTCATTGTATTCTCCAATTAACAGGGCTACAACAGCTGCATATTCTTCAGATGATTTGCAATGTATCATCCTGCTCATCAATGACCTCTGCTAACTTGGGAAAATGTGCATCTGAAATTTCCTTTTGAAGAGATATTTTGAGATAGTTTTCAAAATGCTTGGATTTTTTTGCCACATATCATACACAGACTTATTAGTTTTACCTTGCAAAGAAATATTCCAGTCATCTTGATAGGACATAATATCACATAGAAATGCTGCATTCCTAAAGAAATCTTCTTCCAATAATTCACACTGCTGATTCTGTTCTTCATAATTTTAACTACCTGTTCTCACAGATACAAACTTTTGGCTAACACCTGCCCCTCTAATAGCCAACACACTTTAGAATGATATGGCAAATCCACACTGAATACCTCATTGTTCAACTTTAGCATGTTACAAAACTGACAATGCACTATTGCATTTGCATGAGTATAGTTAACAATACTTATAACTTTTTGCAAAGTGTCACTTAAAATAGTAGCTTTAGCACAGAGATTTTGCTGAAGTCAGACACAATGAAAAGAAATGAAAGCATCTGGATCTGTAAATACTTTAACTGTGCAATAAACCCTTCATGGTTTCCTGTCATGGAAGGTGCACCATCTGTACATATGCTTACTAAATTTGCCAAATTCAGTCCAACTTCTTGACATTTATCTTGAAAGTTATTGAATTTTCTATATCTATACCCCATATTCTGTTCAAAAGAGTGTCCAAAGAGAGTAACTCTTTGTAGCAAAGAAAATCTTCTGTTATGACCCAAATGAAGTATAAAAACTGTGCCAAGTCCCTAGTATCAGTTAGTTGATTCATCCAAAGTGATTGAATAGTATATATTTTCCTTTTGAAGTATTGGATAAAGTTGTCTGTTAAGTTGAAGGCTAATTCATGCTGCTGATCAGTTATGATTCTCCTAGAAAAAAGCAGTTGTTTGTACTTTGAAATGTTATCAGACTCTAAGTGTCCTACAACTTTGACAATGCATTTTTTTCCCAATTTACACATCACTAAATGGCTTCACTTTTTTCCTGAGTATATAAGCTACTTTATAAGTTGCTTCAGTGGCACTATTTACAGATCTTATTGCCACTTGAAAGAATTGTCTTTGCTTTTGCTTTTCATCTTTTTATTTCTGCAATACAACCTTTGGCATCTCTCTTTCTAATTTAAAATATTTGTGGTCCTTATGAATGTTATAATACTGATGAGCATTGAATTTCTTTAATGTTGATATTGCAGTATCACAAAGCAAATAATCTTATCTTTAGCAGAAACAATAATGTAATTCCACTTCTCATTAAAAAATCTGTTTTGTTCCTTCAGCATTCTCTTAGTCTTCTTTGACATGATGGGCTATTAAACAGACAGAATTAAAAAATACTGTAGGCCAGGCACGGTGGCTCACATCTGTAATCCTAGCACTCTGGAAGGCTGAGGTGGGAGGATTACTTGAGCTCAGGAGTTTGAGACCAGCCTAAGAAAGAGCAAGACCCCCCCCCCCTTTCTACAAAAAGTAGAAAAATTAGCTGGGCGTGGTGGCATATGCCTATAGTCCCAGCTACTCGAAAGGCTGAGGCAGGACGCTAGCTTGAGCCCAGTCGTTTAAGGTTGCAGTAAGCTATAATGATGCCACTGCACTCTACTCAGGGTTAGACAGAGCAAGGCTTTGTCTCATTCATACATACATAAATAAATAAATAAATATGCTGTCAAGCTGTGCAAATACTCATAAATTCCACCTCAAACAGAAACATAGTGCACCGATGCCAAAAGCTGATAACAGACTCGGGTACTTGACCCCATAAACTCACACCAACCAGCCTTGTACAGCAGTGGCACTAGTCAGGCGGGAGAAGTTAGAATTAAATCATGAGTGTAGCAGCCATCAGTATGGCCTTTATGGCTTACTAATGTTCTAACTGTGCCAGTCAATCTTGGAGGATTATTTTGTTGAAACTGATTTTATTCTTTGGTATTTTAAATATGTTCGTTTTTAAAATAAAAATACAAAAGATTAACAAAAATGTATTAGTAAAAATAAAATAAATATAAAATTTGGATTCAATCAAAAGGCCGCACTTCAGAATCTAGAAGACCACAGGTTCCCCAGTCCTGCCCTAGTAGGTATCTTGGTAAATACAAGCAACCTCCATTCTGGGGCTCACTGTACCACCTAACTAATTGGTCCTCTATGGTTAGAAAAGCTACACGCTTCACATTCTGCTTCAAAAGTTGCCCATTCATTGGTATTAGCCAAGTCTGCGTTGGTAAAGACAAGTATGCCTCCTCAGTTAGGACTTCACATCATAGCCACTAGTTTTAAGACACCTTCTCTGGACAGCAGGGCATCCAAAAAGTGGTGAATCTGGCAGGCCTGGACAGGACTTCTCCAATCTCTCTGTCTCTCTCTCTCTCACACACACACACACACACACACACAAACTCACCTTAGACGGCACTAACATAGCTGTGGTGATCACAATGAAAATTTTAGCTTGATATTAAACGGTTCGCCCCATATCTATAGAAAAATCAGCATGCTTAATAAGAAGCTTGCTGGTACCTGCAAACTACCAAAGCTCACACATTCCTTTCCTGCCTTTAAGTCCTTTTCTTTCTCTAAATCTGCAAACTCTTTTCAGAAGAAGACAGTCCTCGAGTTTATTACTGAAGCCTGGATAAGTCAAGATTATGCTGTGGTAATGCCAAGGAGATATTATTTCCTGCCTAAAATTCTGGTCTGTTGCCCTCCAGCCTCAGCTATCATATGACCTTATAAAAACTCTACCCTCCCATACTTCAGGCCAACAGAGCTATATTTCATGTCAACCATGATGAGATGGCAAGCCATTTGTTTTGAAGGATCTTAGACACAGGAATGGAAGGCACCTTGGTAAATGTTAACAATCATCCTGAATTTGATGATTACAAGTCTTGCTTCATCTGCCTCCTGGAGTGATTAACCTATAAATCTCAAGGAAAATAGCGAAAAGAAATCCACGTGAAAACAAAACCATTCTCTCTAAGGAACCTTTTTCTGAGAGGTTGGGTTGTGACAAGAGACGAAACAAAAATCACAACATGGTTTGGCTTTGATACTCACCGAAGGATCAACCTGGTCGTTGGTCACTCCTCGCAGAACTATTTTTAATGGGTGTTTCATAAATGGAGCCAGGCAAAGAAGACTCTCCAGGTAATAGCCAATGCTGCGAAGGACACTACAGTCATGTTCCACGAATCCACCATATAGGAGGCCAGGCTGGTAATATAAGGTTGTTCCTTAAACCAGAGGAAAAAGAGTCACATTCAACAAGAAAAAAGTTAAGTATCACAAAGGTGATGAAGGCTATTAGTCCTAAGGGGAAAATCTGACAAGGGCATCCAAGGGAGTTTGAAATGCCATCGCTAAGAGCCCATACTTCACTCCAAAAGATGACTCACTACTGTCAAGCCCCTGTAACAATAATAAACTGCAAGTGTAATTCATAAACAGTAATAAATTAAACTCCTCCCTAAGCCACCTGAGTTGCCAAAGTCACAGCAGGGCACAGAGGAGAGATCCGAGTAAGCACCTATTTTCCCAACAGCACACTCTCAGGGTGGGCTGACTGTAGGGAGTAATTACAAATGATGTTCTTAAACCATCACACCAGCAACCAGCATCTTCTAGACCTCTTGAAATGAGATTTCTCTGATAAATCACTCACTAAACAGCATGCCTAAAAAAGGCAAGTACTATATGGCATGCAATGCATTAGTAGTAGCTGTTTTAATTTAATATTGATATATGGAAATAGCTAAAATTATCTTATGGCTTCAGTGAAAACTACTATCTTTATTCACATCATCCAAAAAGTTTCTTACTAGGTTTACATATCAGAGGAAAAACCACGTAACATACCCTACATGATTTAAGGAATCATAAATAAGGTATTTCTGCTGCTAATATCTTTTTCAATGTTTTCTGGCACAATTTACTAAAACCAAGGAGACATGTTCAGTCACTCAAATGAGAAACAGCTCTTGGCAGTTTGATAAAAATAAATTTAGGTTTCAGTAAATTAAAAACCAAAATTCAAACAATCACTACCAGGATCATGTTCTGATCAAAGTGGCTAACACTTCTCAAAGGGAAGGTTCTGGCTCAGTTATACTAAATGTTATTCAGAGTCACAAAACCATCCTTTAGTCAAAAAGCCAAAAAGAGACTATAGAACCACTAAATCTTTTAATCTATCTGTTTATGCCTACAAATTAACCAAATGAGAAACTGACTGGATCACCAGAATGAAGGCTTTCTACTCTGATGGAGAAAAAAGGAAGACATGGGGTGGGACCAGGATCAAGTAAATGTCTTTCTTCTCAACCTACACAGCAGATATAACTAGAAAAGAATCAAATTAACTGCCCTCCAAACCACCAATAAAAATGGTTGAAAAAATCTCCAGTAATTTCAAGTAAACAAGCCAAGGAAGATTAAAGGAATCACAGCTGGCAAAGCTATAGACCAGCACATCTCACATGGCACAAGACCACCTATGAACCCAAGCTTGTGTTAAGAAAGCCAAAATATGGGAAAGGTCTGAGATTCCTTTGTGGAATATGTGTGGAAAGACACAGAGCTCATGGAGTTGGCCAAAGGACTTCTATACAATGTAGATAAAAATTTCTAATAGCAAAAAAAAAAAAAAAGCTAGAAACAACCTAAATGTTTATCAGTATGGAGCAATTAAATACATTAGCATGTATCCACACAATGGAACACTATATCATAGCTCACAGAAATACTGGGATAGACCTGCACGTGCTGGCAGGGAAAGTTCTCCAAGACATTTGTGCTAGCAAGAAAATGCTGGCTGCAGAACAATATGAAGAACGTGACCCCACTAATGTTTAAACTACGTAAGTGCCCACATTAGCAGATGCTGCAACAGTGTCTACCGCTGGAGAGGGGAACGGAAGAGGAAGGAGGTGAAGGGATTTTCACTTTTTTTTTTTTGCATATACCTGTATAAACTTATTTTATGCCTAACATTCACATAAAAATTTTCAAAGTCCATTACCACATTACCACATTAAATTCTTTACAACAAATTCTGTGAGGTAGTTTGTCTGCTAAATTCTATTTTAATTTTTAATTTTGTCTTTGAAAACATTTGCGGTTAAAAAAAGAGGAGGCGATTGCTTGCTGATCTGAACTTTTCATTCTTCCTGCTTCCCTAAATCAAATGTATGCCTCTTAATTGGACAATCATATCACAGACAGGTAATGGGTCCTTCCATCTGACAAAATACTGACACCATATTTTTTTAAATGATCCAGAATGATAAGCTTTTATTATAATCTCCACTCACATCTTCCTCATATAACCCCCAAACATTCCAGTTTAATGCTGGCTTATATAACACAAAGTGATTAGTAAAGTTTTGAACACAATATTTACACCATTAAAAAAGAGTGAGAAACAGGCTGGGAGCAGTGGCTCACATCTGTAATCCTAGCACTCTGAGAAACCAAGACAAGAGGATTGTTTGAGCCCAGGAGCTTAAGACCAGCCTGAGCAAGAACAAGACCCCATCTTGACTAAAAATTTAAAAAAATTTTTTTTAAAAAGAGTGAGGAAACACGGGAATGCTTAAGTAGTGCATGGAGGTGCTTTTAAGAATAGAGAGAAAAGGACCTTACCTGTTTGGTTTATTTCAATTCGAGAGCCATTAGTTATTTTGTCCAACAGTCTTATGAAGCTGGCTTCAAAGTCTGTTAGGAAAAGAGAAAACATATTGGCCTCACGTTAGGTCGTGGTTTCTGGAAAGCACATCTGATCTGGGTACTGCTGTGGAGAGTAGGTCACTTCCTGCATCATTCCCGGCCTTTCCTCAGGAACTGGGTGAGTTCACAGGTTGAGGAACTTGAGGCAGTTGAATAGCAATGACTGGAACATACATGTTTAACAGAACTTAGAAAGAGGCTGGCCATAGTAGCTCAGGCTTGCAATTCAAGCACTCTGGGAGGCCCAGGTAGGAGGATTGCTTGAGGCCAGGAGTTCAAGTAGAACTTAGAAACAATTCAACTTTCACATTACATAAAAAATAGCAGCTCTACCAGCAAGCTAATGGAATATTAATTTCAGCAACTGAAAACCCATAAAAGACATCTTCTTCTGATCTCAGGAGGGCATGCCAAATAAGGGACAAACAGTAGAAAACAGGAAAGGGTTTTAAAACCCCTTAAATTCATCCTTGATCCAGAATGCCCAAGAGGGGAGACTAAATTGAGAGCTACCTTTCAGTCTCAGAGATAGTAAGAGATCATGTCACTGTCTCTCTCATTCAACAATGTCCCTTCGTCTATCATCTTACTGATCTATAAATAAGTATCTACTCAATTTGGTTTCTTATTTCATTGAAAAGGTGCTTGAATATACAGTATTACTGTCACCTTTTTTTAATTACATGAAAAAAAACTGAAAGAAAAAAGACCAAATGTCAACAAATGGGTTTCTCTTTATGATAGGATTTTATACAACTATCATATTAAATGTTTATATTTTATCTTCAAATTTACTTCAATTCCTTTTATAAAAAGATTGTTATTTAAACATAAAAGCTGGCCTGGCGCAGTGGCTCACACCTGTAATCCTAGTATTCTGGGAGGCCGAGGCGGGTGGATCACTCAAGGTCAGGAGTTCGAAACCTGCCTGAGCAAGAGCAAGACCCTGTCTCTACTAAAAATAGAAGGAAATTAATTGGCCAACTAAAAATATATAGAAAAATTAGCCGGGCATGGTGGTGTATGCCTGTAGTCCCAGCTCCTCAGGAGGATGAGGCAGTAGGACTGCTCGAGCTCAAGAGTTTGAGGTTGCTGTGAGCCAGGCTGACACCATGGCACTCTAGCCCAGGCAATAGAGTGAGACTCTGCCTCAAAAAAATAAAATAAAATAAAATAAAATAAAATAAACATAAAAGCTGGTCATTCTTTTAAAAAGAGAGGGAAGAGGGAAGAGAGGGAAGAAGGAAGGAAGGGGAGGAAAAGAGAATAGATTTTAAATTTAAAATTATGGAAGGAAGAATGAGGACTCAGACCGGGGAACATGTCCTCTGGCATCCCAGGAGCTAATCTTATACATACACACCCCCTTTAGTTTTAACTTCCTGCTCATGAACAAAGAGAGAAAGGCCAACTCTTCTGCCCCTCAAGGCACAGTGACTGCTGATATGTTTAGGCAGTTCCAGCTCCTGTAATAAACCACCAGAGTTTGCGGACTCCACAGACCCCAGCAGTCACCTAAACTGATCCCAAAGGGTGAGGAGCTCGACTAAACAATTCCCATCCACCTGGTCTGTTACTTAACACTGTCCCATAACTCTTGTCATAGTAGATTCTGAAATCTGTACAAAAAGCACCTGGCTACAAATCAGAGAAACCTCATTAAATCCTGAAACAAATAATAATGGCTAATAACATCTGCTGTATATTAAACACTTACTTTGTATCTACCTTTTTTTATTTAATCCTCATAACCCTGAAGCATAGAGTTAGCTGTGGTTTGAATGTCCCCTCCAAAATTTATGTTGAAATTTAATCACCATTGTGACAGTATTAAGAGATGGGACCATTAAGAGGTGATTAGGCCATCAGGGCTCTGCCTTTATGAATGATTATATGTCCTTATCACGAGAGTGGATTCATTAACACAAAGAGTGGGCTGTTATAAACATGAGTCTAACAGGGAGCAGAGGCACACGCCTATAGTCCCAGCTACTCAGGGGGCTGAGGCAGGAGGGTCCCTTGTGCCCAGGACTTTGAGGACAGCTTGGGCAACATAGCAAAACTTCGTCTCCTTAAAAAATAAAAATAAAAAAGCAAGTCTAGTCCTTTCTTATTTCTCACCCCATCTTGTACCCTTCCACTTTCTGGAAGGCGTTGGCCAGATGCCAACATCTTGATACTGGACTTCTCAGCCTCCAGAACTATGAGAAATAAATTTATTTTCTTTATATGAATTACCCAGTTTGTGATATTCTGTTATGGCAACACAAATTGGACTAAGACACCATTATATAGAAGGCTGAGCCCAACAATGTCAACAAGCCTTCCCTGGTCAAGTGATCAACAAGCAGTGGCAGAGTCAGGATTTGAGACCAAGGCTGTCCTTCTCCAAAGTCCACACTCTCAATCACACCATGACATTCGTTTGCCTCTGTTCAGTTTAATCCCCCCGAGCCAAGCTCTCCCCTCTTTGCAACTGCAGGATCTTGTAGTTAATTTAATGGGTCACTAATCAATATTTTTAAAAATAAATTAGAACAGAATAGACTGTATCGGAGTAACTGTACATACTAAGGGTGCTGTTCATAAAATTTTAGTTTGTTTTACATGTATGTGTATGGGTACTAGGTTGCAATATAAGCAGCATCACAAAAGATCGAAAGTAACTGAACTATGGAATTGAACTAGCAATTACTTTTATAGTCTTTTTCTATAAACATTCTGTCTTTAAAAATTAAGCACAGTCTCTATAACAATGCCACTTTCAAGTTAGGTTTATGGAAAATACAAGGAAGAGCCGGGCATGGTAACTCACACCTGTAATCCTAGTGACTCAAGAGGCTGAGGTGGGAGAATTGCTTGAGGCCAAGAGTTCGAGACCAGCCTGGGCAGCATAGTGAGACCTCATCGCTAAAAAAATTTTACAAATTAAGTGGGCATGGTGGTGTGCACCTATGGTCCTAGCTACTTGGGAGGGTGAGGTAGGAGGATGACTTGAGCCTAGGAGTTTGAGGGTGCTGTGAGCTATGATCCCAACACTGCACTCCACCTAGGGTGACAAAGATGAGAGAGAGAGAGAGAGAGAGAGAGAGAGAGAGAGAGAGAGAGAGAGAGAGAGAGAGAGAGAGAGATTGATTGATTGATTATACAAGGTACTCTGTACAAAAAAAAAGAAAGAAAAAGAAGCCCTTGATTTGCTCAAGCTTTCTAGGTACCTAAATGGGAAGGAGGAAAAGCCAAAGATTAAACCCTACAGCTTTTAAAAGAAGAAAACATGACTTTAGAAATTTGGGGGCAGAGGAAAATCCACAGGGGCTCTTAAGCACAAACACAGTCAGAAATGCCCAACAGGAACCTAAGTAGGAAGAGAATGGGCATAAAGAGACTTGCAGGCAGGACCATTCCTGGTCACAGCAAACAGGTGCTTCAGAAGTAGCACTTCAAAGAACCAGACTCAGAGCTAGTTCCTGAACACCGGCAACAGTGAAGATATGAGCACCAGCAACAGTGAAGATATAGCTCCATCACCTGGTGTGAAAAAGATCTCAAGTTCACCTAATAATAGTAAGCTCAAAGTCCTCAAACTTCATTAAGCCAAGATGTGTATGATTCTTTCCCCATTCACGTCCCACACACCCTCTCTAAATCTTCCTCTTCACAAATGCTCCAGGGGACATAAAATTTCACAAATCTAAAAATTATAAAGGAAAAGTTCCAAAAGCAAGCATAATTTTACTACACTGTTTAGGAATACATAATTAGGTTATAAAACTATAAAGAGAATCAAAGTGAATGTCATAATGGTCAGGATATTAGCTACCACTGGTTGCATGGTAGGGAGCTAAGAATGCTAAGAATGCCAAGAAGCGCACAGATGTTGGCAAAGTTCTACTGTTTGGTGTGGATTGGGATCACACAGATGTTCATTTCATAATCCCTTAAGCATTACTTTCATATCTTATGCATTTTTATGTTCTTATATTTCACATTTTAAAAATATTTTAACTGTTGGGACCATCAATCTCAGGATTCCTTAAATATCACCTCCCATGCCTACTCCCTTCCCACTCGCTATCCTGAAAATAATCCCCCACATAAGTGATTTCATCATTCCTTTTTTCTTTTCCTTTTTTTTTTTTTAATTGGTGCCAAAATATGGGGTTGAACCATCATTTCTTAAAGTGTTTGTATGTCCTATAAGGTTCATCAGCCTGAACCATGCCTCACTAAGAAAGACAAAAGCATGTCTCAAAGGAGGGGAGTGGGTAAAGAACACAATCTAAAAATCTGTACTTAAAAACAAGGAGCATGGCCGGGCACGGTGGCTCACGCCTGTAATCCTAGCACTCTGGGAGGCCGAGGCGGGCGGATTGCCCAAGGTCAGGAGTTCGAAATCACCCTGAGCAAGAGCGAGACCCCGTCTCTACTATAAATAGAAAGAAATTAATTGGCCAACTAATATATATAGAAAAAATTAGCTGGGCATGGTGGCGCATGCCTGTAGTCCCAGCTACTCGGGAGGCTAAGGCAGGAGGATTGCTTGAGCCCAGGAGTTTGAGGTTGCTGTGAGCTAGGCTGACACCATGGCACTCTAGCCTGGGCAACAAAGCGAGACTCTGTCTCAAAAAAACAAAACAAAACAAAACAAAAAACAAGGAGCAAATTTCAATAAACACATTCTCAATTTAAAAGTGTTCTAACTCAAATGTCTACAAATACTGGGCTAGTCAGATAAATTACAGCATAACCATAATAGAACACTCCGTAGCCTTATAATCAATGAGGTTTTTCATATACTAATATGAATCATCTCCAAGATATACTGAGTCAAAAGAAGATACAGATGACCATTTGTGTGAAAAAAGGAAAAGTGTACGTGTGTGTATGTGTATATATATGCTTCTTTATGAAAAAATTAGTCCTGAAAAGAAACACAAACTAGTAACACTGTTTCACAGATTCTCTAAACCCTTTCCTTCCCTTTTAAT